ATCATGTAAATAATCATAATACCTCATCTCAGAGATATAGAAAAATGTACAGTTTTTGTCCAAATCTGCTTTTAATCACCTTAAATGTTATCAGTAAACTTTGGATACGGTTGTTTGATTATCGTCCAACAGGCTGGAGCAAATAATTCCCTGTTTATCTCACCATAAACTCGGTGGGGTCTTTCTTGAATGCAATCTACTCTTGGCTGCTGAGCAAGACTTCGACTAAGCCACTGACGCCTCCGCTAACATTGTGGTAAAGTATCCACTTCTGATAGCTGGTAATGACTGTCCAAAAAAGATACTTTAACCTGAGAGGAATGCATATGAGTCATAATAATCGGCACATGGCTTGCAATTCTCTGTTGAAAGGTCATGTTAATCCGACTTACTAACATTTGGCACTTTCCCAAGCCTTCTCGTTTCGCAATTAACTTGAAAATGATCGCTGAGTTCCTTAATTGTAATGTGTCCATTGGTATCAGCATTGGCATCAGTATTGGCTTGCAATCGATCGGAATCAAGACCCTCTGGGGAGACGTTCGTTTGGAGGACCCTCCTTTTGACTGAAGGGCCATTTTCTGAAAAAGAAAAATACAGAAGAAGAAGAGAAGGAAGATGCAATATTAAAAGAAAAAAATGAAGGAAGAAGAGAAAACAGTAAAGAGAAGAAGAAGAAGAAGAAGAAGAAGAAGAAGAAGAAGAAGAAGAAGAAGAAGAACGACGACGACGACGACGACAATAGCAACAACAACATCCAACGAAGAGGAGAAGAAATATAATTCAACAGAAAAAAAGAAAAATAGTCGAAATAGAAAAATAGCGAAGAAGAAGAAGAAGAAGAAGAAGAAGAAGAAGAAACCAATGGCAAAAGAAATGGAAACGGAATAAAAGTACAAGAAAAAGTAAAAGAATAAATAAGAGATGAAAAATAAAGAAAATGCTATAAATATAAAGGAAAAAGGAAGATAAATAAAAAAAAGAGTAGAAGGGGGAGGAGGAGGAGGAGGAGGAGAAGGAAGGGGGAGAACAACAACGACTTCGAAGACGACAGACTAAGAGAAGAAGAAATAGGATAAAAAGAAAAAGAAAAACGAAGAAAATAGAGAAGAAGAAGAAGAAGAAGAAGAAGAAGAAAAGAAAAGTGCAAGAGAAAAATAGAGGGAAAAACGAAGTGGAAACAAAAAGTGAAGACGAACAATAACAACCACATCCAAAGAAGAGAAGAAGAAGAAATATAATTGAAAAGGCAAAAAAAAAACAAAAATAATAATAAAAATAATAATAAAAATAAAAAATACAGAAGAAGAAGAAGGAGGAGGAGGGGAGGAGGAAAAGAAGGAGGAGAAGAAGAAAGACAACAATAACAGTAGCAACCACGACAACAAAAACGACGGACTTAAAGAAGAAGAAGAAGAAGAAGAAGAAGAAGAAGAAGAAGAAGAAGAAGAAGAAGAATTAAAATAAAAAAAGTAAAAGAAGGCATTAAATTGAAGAAATTGAAAAATATCAGAAAAATAAATCAAGGTATATGAAGAAGAAACGATGTTCGAGAAAGCGTCATAAAACAAACTATAATTTTATTCCAGGCAATGAAAGGAAGACATCAGAAAATTCATCTTTATTACAGGTTCTCTGACGTAAGCCGCTGACCAGAACTCTATTGTTTGCTAAACAAAAAGGGCAAACACGGTATATAGAACAATATAATCATTTATTCTTTGTGTCGTCTGATTGTTTTTCTACAACCAAAAGCATTACCGGGGCGCGATGTATGTGTGTGTGGATTGGTAGATTACTAACAGATCTCTGAGAGGATATTCGTTTGATTATCCTTCAGACAGAAGTACTCCTTTCTGAAAGGGAAAATCCATTTCCTATAGGTTCTTTATTACGCTGCACCAAAAATCATTTGTGCTTCCAATGGATGTTACTGCTGCATTTGTATTATCCTCTCTGTGAATTACATAGAGAATCTCACGATGAATGTATTCTTTACTTGGAACAAACATGGTGTCGGCTTGAAAACTTTTCTTCAGGAGACAAGCAAGCTAAATTTGGAGGTAAGGGACGGTGAAAATATGCAACACATTTCAGTGAAGATCATCAATATTCCAGACTATCATTTATTTGGCAGGTGGATAAGTTTACGCTTGCGCTATAAGTTTCCCTTTGCATCCATAGTCATATATGTTTATTGCGTTATAATAATTTTTCAAATAGGTTTTTATTATATCCATTTCCTTTACACATGCTGAGCGGCAGTCGTGCAAATTCCACGCTTTTCGCTAATTTTTATTACTTAAACTAATCATTTCGGGTTTGCACATTTCCTATCAAAATACCATTTCACTGAGGCAGACATTAAACTCCTCCCCTGTCTTCTTTGTTTCTTTATTTCTAGAAAAACATACAGCTTCAACCGATCCCATAATGAGGCTTGCCGATAGTTTTTAAAAAGAGATAGAGTTTACACTTTCTGCTGATGAATTTCTGGGCTGCACAGGGGACAGGCAAGCTAAATTTGAGAGCAGGGGACGGATAATCTAAATTTGAGGGCAGTGGACAGGCAAACTAATTTTGACGGCTGGCGACGGATAATCTAAATTTGAGGGCAGGGGATAAGTAAGCTAATTTTGACGGCTGGCGACGGATAATCTAAATTTGAGGGCAGGGGACCGGTAAGCTAATTTTGATGGCTGGCGACGGATAATCTAAATTTGAGGGCAGGGGATAAGTAAGCTAATTTTGATGGCTGGCGACGGATAATCTAAATTTGAGGGCAGGGGATAAGTAAGCTAATTTTGATGGCTGGCGACGGATAATCTAAATTTGAGGGCAGGGGATAAGTAAGCTAATTTTGAGGACTGGCGACGGATAATCTAAATTTGAGGACAGGAGACAGGTAAGCTAAATTTGATGGAAGGGAACGGACACACTACTAGAGAACGTAATGTACCTGCTAATGAACTAACTTATTAAGGAACAAGCAGAATTATATTGCGACTAGTAGTAACCGTGTAAATTTGACGATTTTGAGCTTTTAATTTTCTGATGAATCATAATATTTAAGTTATGGATTGAGTAAGCTTCTTGTGAATTCTACGACGGTAAAATACCCGAAGAAAATCACCCGGATGTAATATTAGATAATTGAAATTTATCAAATATTAAACTAGCAATCATACGTATGAATGCAGTGAACCTTATACCGTCTGTGAACTCCATAGACAATCGCACAATGTATGTATTCTTTACTTGAAACCAACTTTCCTTCAAATACTTTTTCACTAAATATGAAAGAAACTGAGATATCTACTCACTGGCAAATATCAATTAGAGAGTGGGCTTTATTTAATCTTGTTGAAAATATTCCGTCGATAAATCGGACACAGCTTTCGGTATAACCTGATATAATCATTGGAAAACTGTAAACTTCAGACACACTTCGTTTTAAAGATTGTGCTGAATATGGCAATGCAAAATTTTTGCAGCAAATTATTACTTCCTTCAAGAATACGTTTCAACATTTCGCCAGATACTTAAGACGTGAATAATAACTTCGTTTTGAGTTGTACAAGTTGTTTGCACTCCGTGCAGGCCCAACCTTTAATTAAATTTGCGCACTTTCTTTAAATTCAAGATCTCATTGAATTAAAACTTCATCCCTACATCCGTAATGATCTTTTAGTTCGTGTTAAGTGAGAGGAAATGTAATCAAAACTCAACAGGGAAACCTCGAATTGAAGGTTCAAATCTAGCGGACGCAACATTCAGAATAATGCCGCCTATAGTACTGGGTGTGGGGAAATGTAATGTTGAGCGACTCGGAATAAGAAATCTATCTATCTATCTATCTCAGTCTATTCTGATCTACCTTCCTATCTATCTATCTTAACCTATTCTGATCTATCTATCTAGCTAGCTAGCTATCTTAGTCTATTTTGAGCTATCTTTCTACTTATCTATCTTAAACTATTCTGATCTACCTTTTTGTAGACAATAATAATTTACAGATACAAGTCATACTCAGTAATACACATAGCTGGGTAAAAGGTGCATTCATGCCTTTCCTAGATGAGGATAGATAGATAGATAGATAGATAGATAGATAGATAGATAGATAGATAGATAGAAAAGAAAAGAACAGACTGAGATAAACATATTGGAACAGACTATGATAGATAGATAGATAGATAGATAGATAGATAGATAGATAGATAGATAGATAGATCTTAACCTATTCTGATTTCTCTATCAATCTAGCTATTTAGCTATCAGTCAATTCTGATCTAACGATTTATCTATCTGTGTTAGTCTATTCTGATCTACCTTCCTATCTATCTATCGTAACCTATTCTAATCTATCCATCTATCTATCTTAGTCTATTCTGATCTATCTATCATTTTTTTCTTTACTAAGCTCAGACAATTCCGGCTATAAGAGCAAGCAATGCAAATGCCGAAAAACCCTTTATATAATTTTAATACATTATACAAAAGCCGTTGATGAGATATGATCTCTTCTTCCACAAATTACAAGTTAAATATCAGAGTAGACTAGGTTCGCTAGCCGTGGTTAGCAACCAGTCTAAGAGAAGGGCAGTTCTGAATTTTCAAACACAACCACCTGTAGCTGTACAAAGATACAAATATTGTGTCTGGAAACATAACATACCGATAGATTATCTATCTATTTATCTCAGTTTATTCATCTCTATCTATCTATCTATCTATCTATCTATCTATCTATCTCAGTCTATTCATATCTATCTATCTATCTATCTATCTATCTATCTATCTATCTAAATTAATTGTCAATTATCATCAGTCACCTTGAAACCTGTTTCTGTATTGTCCTTTGTTTCATTCGCTGTCAGTAACATCTTGCATCATAGTGATTTTATTGTTTTGTTTCAAGTGAAAAGATTTTAAAAAATGATGACTCAGTTCGAAATCAAGTCGAAGCTATCATGTATTTATGCATTTTTCTCACTCACTCACACAGAGATACAAACGTAGATGGACAAAAAGATAGAGATAGATATAATGAACTCGCTGAGATTATGTATCAAATAGATAGATAGATAGATAGATAGATAGATAGATAGATAGATAGATAGATAATGAAAATACGGGTTAGATAGATAATGAAAATACTGAGATAGATAGATAGATAATGAAAATACTGAGATAGATAGATAGATAGATAGATAGATAGATAGATAGATAGATAGATAGATAGATAGATAGATAGAAAAAGAGTGACATGGATAGATGTGAACAGGCAAAAAGATAGATAGATAGATAGATAGATAGATAGATAGATAGATAGATAGATAGATAGATAGATAGATAGATAGATAGAAAAAGAGTGGCATAGATGTGAACAGGATAATAGATAGATAGATAGATCGATAGATAACAAATAGGAACCGTTTATTAATCTAACAATTCTTTGAAGTTTATCTTACTATTCTGTCGGATTCTGATCCATATTGTCTACCTGTCTGTCGATCTATCTATCTATCTATCTATCTGTCTATCTCAGTGTGTTCATATCTATGTTTGCATCACTTACTCTCTCTAATTCTGTCACTCATTCACTATCTATTTATAGAACTATTTCAATCTATATTTATCTATCTTAACCTGTCCAAATCATCCATGCACACACATACACACACACACACACACACACACACACACATATATATATATATACATACATATACATATATATTATAAATTAATTGATTTAAAATATGGTTTTTCGTTACACAGTTCTAACCATGTTTCAAAAATGGAAGCTAAAAGCTTCGAATTTAATTTTGTAATTAAATTAAAGACATTAGTTCCATTTCATCCTCAAGCGATTTTTTTTAGATATTTAATTAGATAATGAACTGGCTGGGATATATCTAGCTATCTATGAGTTGGGATCACTCCAAAATTCGCTTGAGGATGAAATGGAACTAATGTCTTTAATTTAATTCCAAAATTAAATTCGAAGCT